TTTGCTTGACCTGCTGCCAACCTATTTTCAAAGATAGTTGTACAAATGTAACACGTGTTTGCAAAGCCCATCCCTCTTAATGGAAAATGGATGAATGAGAAATGAGTAAAATTTGAAGAAAGAAATATGACCTCAGCAAAGCGAGGTAGTACCCGTAAGTTTTATAGAATAACATAAGCAAATATACTAGGAAAGTCAACATTTGTATGACAAACACTAAACTTTTTTACAACATACAGATTTCTGTTAAAAGCATCATTATATTATGAATAAGAAAGCACAATTTTACTCATCTGCAGAGCATCTAGCAGTCGGTACACTCGGTGGCCTGCCTGTGCACTTGTTCATTTGTGATGTTAGGCGCCGCTTACACTATGCAACATGCCTTTGTTCTACTCACCTTACAGCTAGCTGCCTGCCAAGGCTGTCGCGTGAGATAACTGACTTAGCTGACTTCCTGCCACGACTTGGCCAAGGCATTGTTTGGCGACTGGCTGACGCAAATGGGCAGCTTAGTGGGCCAAAAGTAGTTGATGCCACTGCAGTTGCTCTTTGCACTTGTTATGATTATAAAATGGGAAACTTGGTCTGAGCGACAAGGCAGCTCAGCCCAGCTCAGTTCAGCGCAGCATAATCAAAAACATAATCATCATCATAATAGCTATTTATTATTGCAAGTGTTTGCTTTTGTGTTTGCTTTGACAAAAGATAACAAACTGCTTGGAATGCGCACAATTGCAACGGGGCTAATGAGACAGACCGCTGACGGAAGCAATGCTCGGACCCAGACACTGAATAGTATCTCGAGCTGGAGATGTAGTCATCTTGGCCGATACTCAAGCGCATTGTAATTGGCAAAGCTCAACTTGTTGGTACTTTGAGATGTATGAGAGGCAATTGCAGCTAAAGCTGCTTGCTGCACGCTTTGGCATAATAAAGACATTAGGTATTCAAAACATTCTCCATAGATGCCAGTTCCCTCCCTTTCCCTCTCTCTCTCTCACTCTTTCTCGCTTGTTCTCAGGGTGCTTCGGCAGCTCATTAATTCAATTGCATTGCATTTTCGTGGAAATTGCCGGCTGTGTTTCGTCTTAGGCAAATTTGCATTTCACTTGAGTGAATTGAAGGCAAGACAGGTGAGCTGGCTACACAATTGGGCGTCCTGCCACAGAGCCGTGTTAGCTGCACTCCACGCGTAACTAATTGCTTTTGCCGTCGTCTATGAAATATGCAACAGGGCTGCAAGACAAAGTGCACAACATTTGCCAGATTGGCAACTCTGGACGGGCAACAACAACTCAGACACAGCAATCAAATTCAATCAATTTAATCAAGCAGAACACACACACGCGCCGAGGCAGGTGGCACACGCGGCGTATGCGCAACGTGGCAGCTGCTTGTGGCGCCTCGTGTTAATTTTAACACGTAACACGCGCCAGCGATGCTAAAAATACATATCATGTGCATGTATACAATAAATGTACTTTTATATAGCTGCCATAATATCGAGTAACACACACAAAAGCAACACACACTCCAACACGCACAGACATTTGATACACACACACACGCTTAACTAGAGGAGAAAACTTGGCTAGCAGCAAGTTGCCTCTGAGCAGGACGGGCAGAGAGTTAGATCTGGGTCTGGGTCTGGGTCTGAGCTACATAATAAAGCAGCCATAAAGCAGCAGCAAAACGTGCAAATAACACGTACAAATGAACAGTTGTAGGGACAAAATACAGCGAACAGTGCTGGGTTATGCACAACTATTGTGTGCCCAAAAACAATTTCGCCTCAATTTCAACAACTAAAACTTATGAGCATTTCAATTACTTAGCAAAAAAAAAGAAATATGAATTGTTAAATTGAATTTGTTGAAAAGTTTTGCAAGGTATATTTATTCGCAGATTTGATTTGACATACGATTCACCTTCACATGTTGGCGATATGTTGTCGAAAGGCTTTCTCTCAGCTCATTTGATTAGTTGAGTACAGCTGTTTGCTTGGCCATTTGGCCATTTGGGAGACAGCGCCAAAGAAATTTGTAATTCTCAAGCGAAAGACAGAAAGTCAATGTTAAATTCTTATGCTAAACACGCGCGTGTCTGACGAGCGATTTGCTGGCGTTTTTCTGCTGCTGCTGCTGCTTCTGCTTCATCTACATGCTGGCTGTATGCATTAAAAAGCATACAAAATAATAAAAATACATGCACATAAATAACACGAGGCAGCCGAAAAAAAATAAGAAGTACAGGCCATACAAAACCAACGCAGGCAAAATAAAAATCAAATAAACTGAAGGGCAACAACAGCTGAAAGGCAACTTTAGGTTCGCTTTGGCATTTCTGACGCGAGGAAAATGCCAACAAAAGCCAGTCACAAAAGAAAAGTAAAGCTGAAGTAAAAATTCGCACACGCCTCGCAATTCCTAAGCCGTTGAGAGACGCGTGAACTTGAATTGATTTGCTTAGAGACTTTTCCCGGCACACACAGACACTCAGACACACAGGCAGGCACACACACATGTACACATAATGCCGCTTGACAAGAGTTGAAACGACGTCATAATTATAACGAGCCGGCAATTTGTATAGCTGGGCACACTGACAACGGGGCGTATGAGCAACCGAAACAACAAACAACATTTTTATGGCCAAACAACAGAGCGGTAAATTTTAAAGTGTATTTCGAGAGAAAAAGGTTAAATGCAACCGTAAAATGGCAACCGAGAGAGAGAGAGAGAGCGATAGCGTGAGAGAGAGCGAGAGATAGAACAAGGGAAAAAGAAAGAGTGCGTTGTGAGTTGACAGGGGAATTGTGATAAGGGGCGGCAAGATGGGGGGCAATGTGCGGCTCGGGAAAGATTTATGAAAAATTGGCTTTTGTTTGGCCAAGCGGGTCACAAACAAACAAGATAACAGACCCACACACACACACACATGTTGTGTCTTCCTGTGTGTGAAATGAAAATGTAAGGTTTATGATGAAGTCGATTTTTTGCATACGAAAGGGTAAAAGCATAATAAATTCATTTAAATATAATCAAAATTTAAGCAATTATCGAATGAGCAAAAAAAAGATTGCTAATAAATTGATTAGCTAAATGCACGTGCATCTTAAAATGATTTGGTAGTAAAATAATTGTTTTTAAATATAAGTTGAGCTTCTGGACCAGAAGATGGCTTGATTCTCAGCTCTAGCCTAAAAGTTCAACTAACGAGTTTATAACATTACTTAAACTAGCTGTAGAGCATTTGGTAGTCGTCATTTAAATATTTTTTCTTTACTTTTTTAGTTGTTTGTTTGTTTTTGTTGTTCTGTGTGCTATTGCATGTTTCCACTTCCGCTGTTTGTGTGTTTGTTTTTTATGCGTCTGTGCCTAAAAAAGAGCACAACTAAAATAAATAAATGAAACTACATGGCCTAAGCCACGCCCACTGGCCTTGCCACAAAAAAAAAACAAGACGATTTTTTTTTGGAAAAATCAAACTTGTGTCATAATTTTCAATATATCTCAGCGGACCACAAAAGTTGACCGTAAATAAACAAAAATGTTGCCGCTGGCGAACATGGGTTAAATTAGGTTAAAATGACAACCGAAACGGGCACAAGCCGCAAAATAAAAAATATCTATATACATATACGCACATATAGATAGTAGAAGAAAATAACAGAATTTCTAATCTGGAGCAACAAATCATCGTCTAAACAAATTACGAATTCATTTGTTGTTGAGGTTTCATTTGCGCCAGTTATTGCATATTTCGAATTTGGCTTTGGCTTTTAATGTGCTCCAGTCTTTATGAGGCATGTAGAAATAGTATTTCTCGTGCTTGATTGTTTATGTTTATACATTTTAATGTTGCAACAATAAGAACAACAACAACAGCATTGAAATCGTTTTTGGCAAGTTTAACAAGAGGCGGCGCTTGGCAGCTGCCTCCTTTTGCATCATCAACTGCATTTGCAGCTGCAACTTGTGCCCTGGCACAATATCAAAGTCAAATTATGTCTGTCGTGTGCGTGTGTGTGAAATGCTTTCAGCTGTTGCCAAATCAAATAATCAACGGAAACGTGTTGCAATCAAACCAAAAATACACAAACGCTTGTGCCACAAAATGTTGCCATAAAATAAAGGAAAGCATTGGCCCAAAATAGACAATAATTAGCAACGATTTTTAGCTGTATAATTATTTTAGCCAATTTATGTGACTTTTTGGTATTCCATTTTATATTACTATGATGTCAGCTAGCCAGTTAAGGCCCTTTAAGACTTTAATACGACCACAGCATCTTGAGTCCGCAGCATCAAGTGCTCTAATCTCAAAATACTTGGCTCAAATAACTTGAGAGACACAAATAACTGCAACAGCCCGGGCACTTGCAAAAGTCGCGTGAAATCCAAACTCTTGAGTTCAAGCATAGACGGGGAATCCTTTGGCCCACTTCCTGCCCCACCGCTCTCTCCCCTTTCTAAGGCCATGCACACCTGGCATTTAAGCTACGTGAGGCGAAGTTCAACTCAAACTTGTTGAAAAATTGCAAAACGTTAATCAAAGTTAAGCGGCACGACGGAGACGCAGACGCAGACGACGTCGACGTCGACGTCAAAGTTAATTAAATTACAAAGTTATTTAATACTCTGGAATCGTTACCGTTAGCAGCCAGGAACAGGAGAGAACCAGGCAGGAACCAAGCAAGTGCTACAGTAAAGCACTTTGAACTTTGGCCACCAGCTCACCTCACCTCACCTCACCTTTTGGCTCTTGATGCGAGGTGTTGGATGCGGCAATTGGAAACCCCTCGAAAACGTGTGTCAGTTTTTAACGAAATGTAATTGAAATAAATTAAATTGCTTGCACTGCAGAAGCTGCAGGGAATCAACTGATATGAACTGGACACAAAAATGAACACTCAAGCGGAAAGTTCATACTTATTAAGGACAGCTAGAACGATATCGGTTCAAGTTAAAAGGTTTATAATTTATCGCATATCAATGCTGATATACTAAACTTCATAAAATATTACTCCATTCGCAAAATTATAGTTAATTTTTAGTAGTTCTCATGATGAGGATTCGTCATCATCATTTAAGTTAGGCAGTTGCCAATCGTCCTCATCATCGTATTCGTTATCCTCACGCTCCCGATCCTGATCATGCTCCTGATCACGATCGTCATCGGCATCATCATCATTTTCTTCCGATTCATTTTCATTATTGTCTTCCTCGATTGATTGATTACACTCGCTTTTATCGCGCGGCTTCTTCATAAAAGGATTGTTCCGTGCTACAATTGTTGGGGAATATTCAATATAAAAAAAGTATAGCTTGGTATACACACTGCCTCCTCACCCCTCTCATTGGGCGGCTCATTGAACTCGTAGATATCCACATCGAACACCTCATCGCGCGGCATTAATGCCGTTAAGTAGGCCGGCTTTTTGGGCACATTCACATTAAGCACTATCTGACCCGAACGGAATTGTTAGCATCTGTCGAGGATTAGCTGCTGTTGCCGGTGACTCACCCATGAATTCTGTGCCGCGCTGCGGCTCAATAAATAGCGAAGTAGCCGGCCGTGTGCGCAGGTAGTACCTATTGAGTGCTCTCTGGGTGCTCAGCTGCAGATCGGCACGACGTTGCCGCTCCGAGACATAGCCGCGATCCGTGACAATGTCCATCATGGTGTTCTTGTAGGTGTGCACACCGGGAAAGGGCGGCATATATTTGGGTATGTGGCGGCCGCTGCGCAAGCCACGCGACTGATTGATATCCAGCTGTGGACTCTGGTGTATATCCTCGTCGCGCGTCTCCACCGGGCTAAAGCTGATGGGCGTCGGCTGAGTCTCTGCGCTGCTATCACGCAACTCCCGCAAGCCACGGACCCCAATGCCCAGCACACGGAACGTGCGCTCCACATCAAAGTAACAGGGCGTGGAACGGCCCGCATGACAGGCGGCATTCGAGGTGGTCACCGCAATGTCACGCAGTCCTGCCGATAAGGAGCACTGGAGAGAACTGGAGGGCACTGGAATGCAGTTACTCACTGTAGCGCATCAGCACGACCAGCTTGTCGTGCACCAGCTTGTTCTCCGTATTGCAGTCCTTTTGCATAAGCATTTGGTCCATCACTTGGCCCAATATCTCCTCGTATGGATTCATTTGTTGCAACTGATTGAAGGCAGGCAAATCAATTATGTTTGACTAGCTGTCGGCTATTTTGCTGTCCTGTCATTTGCCAGTGTTGACTAACTGTCAAATTGCATTCTCTTCGGAGCTGCCACAGCAACTGCAGATTTTCCTGCTCACTCTACTTCAGTTTTCCATTGGAATTTCCACAGCCAGCCTTTGGCTTCTGTTGTCTGTTTAACCCCTTAACATGTTTGCATAATCTTTCCATAATGCTGCACACAATCAGCGCTCGTTTCGCTCGCTGAGCCAATGCCAACAATTAGCCAGCGATTCGAGACGTTTCCCCGCCCAAAAACTAATTAAAATATTTTCGCTTGACGATCGCGACAAACTGCACACATACACACACACGCACACACATGCACACACTAACACACTAACACACAAGCACGCACATAATGAACTTATTTAACGTGTTTTCATTTACGTGAATGTTTGCGTTTACGTTTACGTATCTCGCAGCGCTCTTAATGAGTTATGCAAATATTTGTTGCTGAATCAATTTTCTGGAAAACAAACGCAGCAACTGCTCCCAACTAACATCATGTCCCGGGACTAGACAGGCGACAAGAGACATTCAACTTTAAAGAAACGAAGCGAAAATACACTTAAATCCAGTTAAGAATCATTGTGAAAATGTGAATAAAACTGTAGATTATTTCTTATTGTAAAAATAAATATTAATAATGAACTCAAGTTTTATTATAATTAGCACGAATATATTAAATGCTTAATGCAGGCTATATGTCAAAATAGGCAAGAAAATTCTCATGTATAGTTGAGTACCTAAAGAGTATAAATAAATATGTAAAGAGTAGATTCTCTCAATGAATAAATAAGTATTTAATCATTTCACCGAATGACTCTACAGTTAACCTTTTCAACAGCTTATCCTATATAAAGTATGTGAGTTATCTTTGATTAAATAAATTGTTGTGGTTGTCACATCGAATGACACATCATCATCAGCTTCATATAGCATGCACCTGAACCGTTTGGGAATTACAAGCGCATAACCTGAATTTTGATTGTAATGGTTGATTGTAATTCTTCATAAGTAACTAACTACTTTTGAGTCATTTACCCTTGATAAATAGGTTATTAATATCTATGCTTGAACCGTTTGGAAATTACAAACGCAGTATATGGAAGATTCAAGTTTTTTTTGACAAACTTGAAGAGAAATTGCGCATACCCTCACACAGGTAGGGACATGGAAACAAACAAGTTGGCTTGTTAACTCCAAGGCAGCTAGTAGGAGAATGTGCGAGTATTGTGCCTAATGACAAATTTCCACAAGCCACAAGCAAACACACGAGAGGCATCCAAAGCCGTCGCCGGAACAGGCGGCCGCACAGACAGCGCAATGCATCATAAAAGTTGTTGTTGTTGATGTTGTGGCAACTGGAGGTGGTAATCATTCATGAGGCATGAAAAAAGCGACGAGGTTACTGTGTCAATTGAACTGAGCCGCCGGGGCAGCTAGGAGAGTGTTGCATGTCGGCGGGCGAAGCCTTTTAGATGCAGACGTCGCAGATGCGAGATTCGCATTTGTGACGCCCAAGAGGCTGCCGCAATTGAACAAATTGCCTCCGCGCCGATGCCCCAGCACGTTGATCGTGTATTGTGGGCGTGCGTGGCTGACATTTGTGCCGGCTGCCTATCGGGAATGCAAAATCAGCTTAGTTCAAGTCTCAATCTGCGCGCCGATTCGCGGCGCAGGCGCAACTGCCCCAAGCATGCAGCTTGTATCTTAGATAAAAACTAAATCATTTCGCAGCATGCAAATGTTATCGTTGTGTGTGTGTGTGGCTGTGTGTGTGGCTACTGCACCCATTGTTGCATAAATTTCATTCATAATTAACAAGATGCGCAACTTGAGTTGCAAGTTGTTTGTTTTCAACAAAATAATTGCCACAATTTGTGTTGCAGCCACAAATTGAGCTGTCGCTGTCTTCTCTCTGCCGCTGAGAGCAGAACAGGCTAATTCAAACGATTAATTTGATAAGCTGGCAGCTTAAGTCAGCAAAGACAGTCGGCAAATGCGAACGACAGCTAAACAAACCTGCAACAAATTGATTGAGCGCCAGATTACTCTGCAAGTTGTTGCCGCCAGACGATGCTGTCGATGTTGTCGATGCGGCTGCAACTGCAACTGGTGCAAATTGCGGCAACAAATTGTTCCAGTTTGCCCCGTTTGCAGATAGACCTATTGAGATACCAATTGGCTGCTCCGCTCTGGGACCGTTAAGCCCACTCAGTTGGCCTGCCGCACTCAGTTAAAACTGTGGCACGATCTCCAATCTGGAGAAGGGCAGGTCAATGCTTTGGCTTTGTCTATGACAGGCTAATACCGGAACTGGAGCCAGGCTTAGCCTCAGCTGCCACAAGTCATTTGCAATTGACTTGGAATTTGGCCCAACCAACAAGTCTTTATATAACGGAGTTGCAGCCGTTTCCAAAGCAGGTGTTTGAACTTGAGGTAAAAGAAACGTGCCGAACTTGTTGCAAGTTTGGCAAATGAAGTGGTATTAATAAATATCTTTTGCTTGTGGAGTTCAATTGAGAAATTCAAAACATAAAACTGAAATCTGGCCAAAACTGTGTCACATGTGGCATGCCATTTTTGGACATATTTTAAATATTGCCTTGGCGATTCTGTTGTCGAAAACTTCATCGAGATTTTAATAACATTTTTAGTAATAAAAAGTACCTCTATTATATCGATCCTCACTCTCTCTCTCTCCCTCATGCAGCTCACTCGCTCTCTCTCACACTCAGCCTTTGGATTTGCTCTTACTCCTCTTACTTAACTCAATGAGAATCGCATAGAAGAGCGAGTTGCTTGCATCTACAATTTTGGGTCATTTTATAGCTGCAAATCATGTTTGACATCTCAGTTTCATAAATTTTGCTTAAAATAGACTGCATTAATTCCCATGAAATACGCAAAGCCATTTTGGACTATTGAAGGCAACAAATAAAAATGCAATGCATGCAATTTGTTAATGCCAAAAACGAATGCGGCAGCAACGTCTGCAAAATGTGCGCCCCAAAATAAATGCAATAACAACAATTTTCGAACGATACAAAGTCCAATTGGGATGGGGCTCTTGGGACCTGGAGCCAGTACAGCCAAATGGCAGCCACTCGAAAATGTCACTGAGTCTGACAAGGCACATGCCTTGCCTTTTCCCGCCACCCCTCTCCCTTTGCTGACATCCACGAGTTCTAGAATTTCTTTCATAATTTGCGTCTGCATTTTCTCACATTGTTGTTTTAGTTGCCACTTCGACTGCGACTTCTTCTACTTTTACTTCATCTTCTTCGCATTTGCTTATTTGCCTTTGCTGCCGGTTATACGCTTCCTCTTCGGCTACTTCAGCCTCTTTATGGTACCTTAACATTGTCACGTTTATTTTGCTTGCTTTTGGGTCGTGTTTTTGTTTGTTTATTTGCCATGCGATATGTTTGTAGATGGTCGGGTATATGAAATATGGGATATGTTGGGCTTAAGTCTCCCACATTGTTGTTGCTTCTCCTCTAAAAATGCTTCTTCCTCTTGTGCTTCTGGTTCTGCCTGCGCAGCCATATTTCTGTTTTGCCTATGCAAGTGAACTTCGTAATTATGTTTCGAAAGGTTCTGTTTGTTTTTAGCACACATTTTGCATTTCATTTGGAACATTCAAGAAGTAACGTGCCACATAAATCGAGTCTCTGACGTACAACTAGGAACTGAATTCAAACAAAAAAAATATAAAAAAACAGAAAAATATCTCTGCATAAATTTGCGGGCAGCTTGGAAAGTTGATTTGAATTTAAATTTCAATCGAATATTTTGCTCTGACTCGCGTTTGTATTGTTTTTTCCTTTTCTTTTTTTTTTATTCATATTCCGATTTCGGGGCAGACAACGAAATTGAATTAATAAATGCTCTTCTAAGTCAGTCCCCAGCACACCCTCCATACCATTTCATCAATATTCCGAATTTGGTTAAATTTGGTGTGTCCTCGTTTTTAATTGCCATTTTGCATAGATATAATAAAAGCTAAAGTTGTTAATAAAACGCAGCATAATTGATAAATTATTCACTTTTATTTGACATAATTGCCTGCTGCTGGCGTCTCTATTGTTTGTTTGATTCTCAAAAATTTCAATTATTGCTCTCGCTCCAAATAAAAGACCCTCCCAATTTCGGGCAATCAAAATTAATCAAAATTGTGGGCGTTGTCACCTGCCAGATTTGGCTAGAAATGAAGAGTCTCAGACATCAAATATTTTCCACCAAATGTGGCGCCACACTTGAATCAACATTTTCGAGGCAAATATCTACAATTTGATTGCCTAAATGTGCCACAAATGTACCCAATATCAAATATCTACGAGAAACTGCACTGACTGTGCGGCAAACTTTGTTACAGATGTTGCAAGAAAAAAACGCACAAGTGCAAGAGCTTTAAGTAATACCCCAATAGAAAAGTCTACCAACAAGTGCAGCACAGTGGTATAGATCCATTCTTATCGTAAGCTTAAAAGGGAATTTCAATTGAATTTTTTCAAACTGCATTTTCATTGCAATTAACAAAGTTCTCACAAAGTTCTGACAAAATATTTAAATTCATAAACTGAACCAAGTTTTATCTACTTGTTCGTCCCACTGTCAGCTGTTGCTGCAAAGCTGAACTATTTTTAGCCAATGTACACAAGGAAAACATCAGTCGGAAAAATCTTTAAGCAGCTTACATTGTGTACTTATCAACCAACTTTTTGGTACCCTTTCAGCGGATATAATCATTTTATCACAAAATGGAAGTAGAAGGAAATGAAGGAAAGATCTCTCACTTTTAGTTACAGAAATTGGGCTTCTATATTATGTAACAGAAGCGATCAAGTTTTTGTACAAACAGGTTCTTGTTTCTCGTAACATCTTTACTAAACTTGACATTAACTAGTTTCAATATACTCTCTGCACTTGGGCATACTCTTATCAGCATTAAA